AAAAGTAAAGATAAGTGTAAAAAAAAAAAAAAAAAAAAGAGATTCCACTTAAATTAGCATTGAACAGTTTACATTCTTTTTTGCCCAACTTAAGTAGGGTAAAAAAGGCAGCAGAGCAATATTTTACCAAATTTTTCTGACAGTCCTGATGCTTGTAGGATTTATGTATGCATAGCATGAAATTATATATGTTTACGATATTGTTAAAGTTCATAATATGATAATCCTAAGGCCAACCAAATTTACGGTTTAACGTAGGGATGAGCCATTGTGCAGTTATGTATTAAATTTGATACGAACATACTCATTTGGAAATAAAAAAGGGTAATCTTCGTCTACAATTAAAAAGGGAAAATAACTAATGATAGGGTTATTGTAACGATGCGAAAAGCTTTGCCTAAAAAGTTTCACGTGTGTCTTGAGTTATCTGATTGATTAGAAGTCACCATCATTTGTATGGCAGGCACGTATGAATGCGTTAGTAATTGCTTTTATTGCATTTTGTTAATTTTCGCCAGTTCCTGTTTCTGTTTCTGTTCCAGTTTCTGTTTCTTTTTGCTTTTCCTTCTCCTTTTCCTTTTGTGATTCGTCGGATTCATTCATCTCGGGCTGTTGAGAGGTCTCCTGTGCTGCAGCATGGTATGGTATGTCATCGTCTTCAGCCAAATCAAATAAATCAAGGTCGGCTTCTCCTGGTTGATTAAAAGGAAGCTGAAAGGACAAATGAAAAGGTAAATTGCGCATTATATATGTAATATATAGAAATATATATAATAAAAAGGCGTATGTATAAATATATGCACATATTTTGCAAGAATTTTTTGACACATTATTCAACCCTGCCGAAGGAAAACAGCATTCCTTTATTCTTACCCCAACGGAGAAGATCAATCCTATGTAGGTAATCATAAGAGTAGCAGCTAAGACGAGCATGAGTCCGAAATTTGCAGTTACCTGATCAGCTGATACTACTATATTAGAGAATTCGTTATTAATGGTTTTTAGGCCTTCAGAAGCCAAATAGTTAATATCAGAAGTCATTTTCAACAAGGGTACCTTTTAAGCGAAAAAAAAAAAGAAGCAAATTAATTTTGATGTGAAATACTATTAAATTTTTCTGTCCGCATATGTATATATACGTATAAGATTATTCTGGGTCATTTTTGTACATGTAGATAATTACTTTAATTCGTAAAAGCGCAGAGTTAGTAATAACAATTTATAGCATTTATTTGTTCTTATTTTTGTTACTTATATAAAAGTTAGATAAATGGTGAAGAAGAATTGTAAAAATCAGAGAATATAACTTACTGTTTTATTAAAATAATAAATGGAGTAACGTTGTTTTAATATTTTTTAGGTTAAATGGCAAAAGGGGATTTAAAGATAAAATGATTTATATGTCAATATCAAGAAAAATACAATTTATATGGTTTTGTATTTTAGTTCTATTTTATTAAATAATATTGCCTAAAATTGGGGATAAAAATAGAAATAGAATTTTACAATTATTTATTTTGAATTTTGCAAAATTATGCTAAAGAAACAATAGAATGGCAAATTAAAACATTAAAAAATTGCGATTTAATTGATGTTAGAATTATATATTTTACATAGAGCAGTTAACCACAAGAAAAGGTGTGGTAAGAGGGCGAATACAAATAATGAATTTTTTTTTAATTCAAAATAGATTATTTCGGAACTGCTAAAATTTTGTTATTTGTATTTTTTTTTTTTTTTACGATTAATTATAATGTACAAAATAGAATAATTGTCTGCATACAAGGATTTTGCAACAGTGAAAATAAAAATGTAGCATTAGGCATAGAGTTATGTTAGGTATATAATTACCTTTACGTAGGAGCAAGTAGCGGCATTTTTAATGGTATTTTTGTCAATGTGATTTCGGGATGCGTTCGCGTTGTCATATGCCTTCTTGAGGAATACTCGTTTTATTTATAAATAAAAAGTTCATTTCTGCAGCATCAATATTTCGATGTTATTACTTCCTCCATAATTTGGTCACTTATTGTTTATATTAAAAAAATTAGGAACGTCAAAAATAAAATGAAAGGACCCATGCACTATTTATGACATTCGAATGAATTGAAACCTTGTAAAAAGTCCTACAAGGAATGTTTACGAAAAAAAGAGCGCTTAAAAAAATATATAATATTAAGTTATATTCATGAGGAAGAATAATTGGAAACGTACAAATGCTTCAAGACGAATGAACAAAAAATGGCAACATTAATTTGAAGTGCATGAGATACACAGAATTTGAAAAGCATGAACAAAAGTGCTAAGTAGCAGAATAAAAAAAGGAAATAATAACATTTTCAGCAGGTCCATGAGTTTTTTCATAGCATTTTCTTTTTCATTGTAAGACTATTTCTGGCATATTTTTTTTGTAGCAATGAGGTTTTTTGCTGCATGGACGCAGGAAAAGCACACGATTTGAATTGTTCTAAAACATGAATAACATATGCCTACGTAGTTAAATATATAAATGTGTATATACAACTGAAACGCACTGCGCTTGAGATAATTAAGCAGCTATGAATGAAACTACGCATACGATTGCTATCTGCAATTTGTAATTATATCATCATTTGAATGATCAGTAGCTAATGGCCAATATTTACATGGCAAAGGTTAGGCAGACACTGGGTAAACCTACTGATGCATAGATAACTAAGTTAAGGCTAGTTATTGACGAACATATGCACAGTTTTATTGAAATATTTGGTACCGTTTATGTGTCCCTTTAGGGAAGAATTTACTAAATTTTATTCCCTTCTTGGATGAAATGCCACAATTCTGTGGAATTTTCTAGATGCAACGTACTGAGCACACCTTTTTAAAAAGTTTCCTTTTTGCAATGCGCGAATGTGCTACAGGAATGGAGGTAATATCCTCAGAGGATGGATGAAAAACTATCTGTAGATGTTAAAATGTAAGTTAAATTTGCAGGCAAGTTGGGTTGTCTTTTCGATTCGTTCGTTATATGCTTAAAAAATGCTGTACGGGTGCAATGAATTGGAAAAAAACTCATATAGGGAGTAATTCCTTTATTTTAATACATCATATCATTTTTGAAGTTCATAATGATATACTTTTTAATGCATAGCTCTAAATCTATTTTATCATCCCCCTACATGTGTACAACCTTTACACACATAAAAATTTGGATGTGCTTGTCTAAAAATGTGATTTTTGTTAAACAACAGAGGAGTTAATACAGATCATAACAAGGAAGAAAAAAAAAATGCGGTATAATGATTTGATTGTGAAGAGAAAGTGGATTAAAATAATGAATATGAAAACCAGGAGAAAAAATAAATTTTAAAATGTTTTCACGAAAGCGAGAGACACCAATGAATTTCTCTTAATAAAAGAGAAATTCTTATTTCTGAATATTTCTGCTTATTAATTTTTACCATCTGAATGAAATTCAGTTCGAACATATATCCTCTTCCAGAATATTCAATTAAATTTGTACAAGGTTAATCGGGTCACCACCGTGAATTATGTGTACGGTGAGATTAAGCCGCTGAAACGCATTTGTATTCACATATTTTTTGCACTGTGTGAGGACAGTAAATTTTATTCATAAATAAAATTGCAGTAAAAAATCTTCGCAATTCATTGGTTAATTGAAAGAAGGGAGTGGTACCCTATATATTTCTCTTTTCCTCATTTTTTTTCTCATTTCTTTTGATCTATGCTCTCCTTGAAAAAATAAATGCATTGGGGGAGCACACTGTGATATGCTACAACAACACGCTACGCGTAAATGTTGTACAAGGTTTTTTTTTCTTTCTTTTTTTTTTTCTTTTTTTTTCCAAGCAATATCTCGTTTGACATGAACTTAAAAAAAGCTTTTTATACACATCTCATTTTCTTAAATTTTGATGTAACTGGCCTCTATTCAATTTTTCCACAAAGTGCTATTTTTTTTAATTGCATCCATTCACAAAGAAGACCACTAACGGGTTGCGTTTACATGTACTCATGTATTTACTCAGTATGTTTGAGGGGGTCCCTCCTCAAATGATATTAAAATTCGTTATTTGTTGTGAGTCTTCTTTTTATAAAAAAATATTTGTTTCTTTCTCTCTTAATTTTTTCTTCATTTTTGAGAAAAAACTTTTTTAGTCCACTTAAAAGTGGCATGCAACTGTGCCAAATGCAGTTCTTACAAAACCCACATGCCATTACCACGCATGTGTAGACACATAAAATGTTGTGTTTTTTAAAATTTATGCTTTTAATTTGTGATTTAAAACATCGTAATTAACTATAAGGGAAACAAAACACATGTAGGTAACCTCCCACTGCAGATCTATTTGTTGATACGCATATGTATGCAGTGTTAACCACATGTAACCTCAAATTTCATTGATAAAATATTTTGCGAGCAACGCAGGTAAAAATGATTAAAATGAAAAGAAAAAAATAAAATAAAAAATAAAAATGAAAAAGTGGCAAGAAAGAGTTGCATGTTATAAAATTGACACATTAACACGTTAATTTTGCACAAATTTATGTTACGAAAATTGTTCAAATGCTTCGGCAGACGAAGAAAAAGCTCACTTTTAATTACACCTGCATGTGTGGTATATGCATACAAAATTTGTATCCTTTTTCTTTGGAAAGGCGTTTTTGTTTTATTTCCTGCCCCATATGAATATAACCAAAGTGTACATTTTTATCCTTATTTTACTCTTTAACATTTTATTTGAACCACATTTGTGCAATGCTGTCGTAAAGAGAAGTGATTCTCATTTGATGAAGTTAACCATTGATGAATTAAATAAAAAGAGGAAAAAGAAGGTCATATATGCGGTTATAGGTGTAGTGTTGGGAATTCTTGCCCTAGCCGCAGGTGGATTGGGAATGACTTATAGAAGGAAGAAGCCTTCCATATGGGACGATTTAGGTCTGGATGCGCATGGAATTTTAAATGTAACAATTGCACAGGGAATATGGATGGCAAAGAAGAGCATGACCAAGAAACCTACGCCCATAGATAAGTTATTACCGCATATGGATGAGATAAGAAATATAATAAAAGATGAATTGGGAAATAGGAAGTTGGATATTGATAAATATGATCCATTACAAATTGAAGATTTTTGCAACTTTTCGATGTATTGTATTAGAGAGTCTATGTTATCATTTGAAAGAAACCTAAGATTAGGATCATGGTGTACGAACGACTAACATAAGGTATAATAAAGATATTGATAGGTGTGTACAGATGAAAGGGGGGGTGAAAATACATCTGCTTTAAATTAAAGAAAAAGAGGTATTATCACCATTTTGTTCTTATGAAAACATGCATGTTATTTTTTACATTTCTTTAGCAACCCCCTGTCAGCAATATTGGGAAAATTTTGTTCTTTTAATTAAAGAAATAACATATAACAGTGACAAATGGCGCTTACATAATTATAAAGGGGAAGAAGCACCACCCCTTGACTTGTTCAGCCCTGTATGCATTGAATCATGTGCAGATGTTTTTCATATTTTATTCTTACGCATTTGTCTCATTTTTGATTTGTGCTTTATCTGCCATAGACTTTGTTTTGAAGTTTTTAATTTTTTTAAATTCTCTAATTTATTTGTGACGTCTGTGTGATATATATATATATAACACCGTGTGTCAGCGTGTTTATCAAAAACAAATTTAAGATAAGAGACGAGAAAGCATAAGTTGAAATATGTATATTAGAAAGGCTTATATATTTTTTTGCATCTAAAAAACAGCTTCTTCGAAAATTAAAACAGGTCCGCAGTATAAAATAACATTTTCGTTTCTTCTGAACGTAGAATGAGAGCGTAAAAATTATTATTGTAAATGTGAAGAATGGAGATATATAATATCGCATGACATTTCTCAAAAGTGGGAAAAATTAATGAGAATTTTTCCCCTCCCTTTTTGGTGAAACATTCGTTTAAGCTGTTTATAGAGCGGAAATTAATTTTACGGAACCTATGACATACTAGTAAACCATTTATAGTATGGGAAATAATTAAAAAAAAAAAAAAAAAATAAAGCACGTTTTAAAATATTTTGCAGACGTTGCAAATGTGATTTATGCTACACTGTAGCTTCAAAGCGGCATGAAAAAGGAGAGATGGAATTTTTTTTCTTAATTGTTTGCAAAAATGTTCAAAAAAATTTAGTCTGTTTATACGCTCTTTCGAATATGTGGTTAACACATTTGTAAAGCGAAAAAAAAAAGTTTAATTTAACTGCGCTGAATGAATTTATGTAATAAAATGTAAACAGGGGGAGAAAATGTGTTCGTAAACGGAAAATTACAAAATTCAGTTGTTAATTCAGTTAAATTGTTTTAAAAAGAAATTCATAAATGGTTAAATGCAATTTTACACACCAAAAAAAGAAAAAAAAAAAAAGTATAAATTAAAGTTGAGATGGTTAAGAAAAGACATATCTAACAGAAGAAACAGAAAAACGTTTATGAATGCAAATGTATACAAAAAGATAAAAGTTGTCCCTAAATAAGAGAAAAATTGAATCCCTATGTTTAAGCTACATTTTACATTAAAAATAGAAAAAACAGAGAGGGAAAAAACAAACAGGGAAAAAACGAAAGTGAGGAAAAGAAAAAAGTCAGGGAAAAACAAAAGTAGGGAAAAAACAAAAGGAAAAAACTGAAGAATTCTTGGATTAACAGGTTTCCTCACATTGTTAACCCTATCCAGGATATACATTATATAGCTGACATTATATTGAACAATTTATAATGACAAACTGTTAATCTGCTAATTTATCTGGGATAGAACTGTGTCAGAATAAATAAATGGGAACACATCTATACATATACACATCTGTACACATACATGTGTGTATCCTTTTTTGGAGGAAATAAAATTTTTATTACAAATAAAATTTACACATCATTATCTTTAATTAGTACATCTTGTCTGTGTTCTGATTATAAAGTAAGAGACAAACAAGATGCGGATAATGTCAGAAATTTGATTAAATCAACGTAACCTTAACAATGGTGCATCGACCACTAGGACATATGCGAATATTACTTAAAGGAGATAGATGAAATATTTCAAAATTTTTATTTATACTAAATTTTTTTCTGTATCATGTGATTTCAGATCGTATTTTACTATTTCTGCATGATTCCGTTTAATAAATCATCGTGTGCATTCATCATCAATTCGTTTGCATCTCTGAAATATGAACTATTCTCATCTACCAAAAACCACACGGGGAATACCTTCTCGTTGAAGATGCGGCTTTCTCTATTTTTTTTTCAGCTCACTCGTTTTTTTGGTTCCCTCTTGAGATTTCTTTTTTTCCTCATTGTTTTCCTTTACCGCAGTTTTTTTCACCTGAGTTTTGTTTACTTCAGGCTTTTTTGCCTCAGCCTTTTCCCCCTCAGCGTTCACCCCCGTGTTGGCCATCTTCTTTCGCAACAATTTTTCTTGTCTTCTCTTTTCAAAATGCGCCTTCTTTTCTTTCTGCCTCTTTCTTTTCTCCCTTTCCTTTCTTTTTTGTTCTTTAATTTTTAATTTGTGCTTGTTTTCCACGTTTTCTTCCTTCAATCCTTCTTCCTCACAATTAGCAAGATACTTATTGATCAATTCTTGGGTTAACTGACCTTTTGTAGCTTTTTTCCCCAATTCGTATAAGGACGAACGCTCTTTTTCTAGCAAGTATACATTACGACCCAAAAGATGATGCAAAGGAAAGGAGAAAAAATCTAATAATCCATAATTTTTTGGTCCCACTTCAAGTTCTGATTCATCATAGGTGTAATATTCTATAGGAATATTTTTTTTTCCTCTCTTTTATTGGTATTTCATAAATTCCTTCTATTACATCGTACTCTTGCACTTCCGTAACTGGGAGTTTTTCTCTGATTCCATAGACTGCTTTTTCAAATTTTTCATCGTACTCTTTTATTCCGTCTTTTACATCTGTTTTTAACATATAACGTTTTTTTTCATGTGTTTCGATATATTCCTCTATGTCCCCTATGTCATCTTCCTTGAAGGCAGAGATTACAGTTTCTACAGTTCTCTCGATTTGATCTACATCGGAGGGAATATTTCCTGATATTCCAAAATTGTTACCTTCCGTAACAGCATTATTTCCCTTTTCTGCAGTACTTACAGTGTCGTCTGGCAGGGCATTTATATTTTCCTCCATTGCATGACTACTTGATTCAGCATCAATTTTTGGTTCTTTTATTTTGGATTCCTTTAATTCTGGTTCCTTTAATTCCGAATCTGCACAGCCCTTTAATCCATAATCCCTTGTTTCGTCCGGCGTTTAAAATTCTTTTAATCCTGCAGGTGCACTATGTGTTAATATATTTTCCTTTGCGAGGTGGCTTTCATTATATTCTTCTAAGTTATGTGTTTTGTTCTCCAATGGGCAGTCTTTCGATACGTTACTTTCGTTATATTCTTTTAAATCAGGTGGTTTCTTTTTCAGTTGATAATCTTGTGATATGTTACTTTGGTTATATTCTTTTAAATCGGGAAGTTTCCTCTTGAAGGGGTATAATGATTTTTCATATTTTTCAAAATCTTTGAGTTCAAGAGTTAATGGATCGTTCACTCCATATATAATTCCGTCTTCATTGTCAATAATATGACTGCCCCATTTCAATTTGTAAATTTTTGTTTGATGTCGCATGTTATCTTCTTCCCATTGACGTACATCTATTTCATATTCGTGTTTATTTAACGGGAATGTGCTAGATTACTTTGACTCTTTCTGAATATAGGCTAAATCACTTTTGGGCACATTTTTTAAAGGATAAGTTTGCGATTTCGTGTCCTTTTCGCTTCCTACCAGTCCACTGGGTGGTTTATGTTTCAATTTTTAACCATTTGATTGATTCATTCCTGTACTTTCCACTAATCCACTAGGGGGAGCACTTTTGACTGGATAATTTTTTGATTCGTCTCTTTTTTTTTTCTGATCTAATTGCTTCGGTTCTACTTCCATGGATGTGTCTTCTGGAGTTTTTTTCTCTTTCTGGTTATCGCATAATTCTCTGAGTTATTGTCCGGGTAACTCGTCCTTTTTTGTATTATCCTCCGATTTGGATGTTTCCGCTTTTCCTGAAGAGTGATTTTCTGATTTGTCTTTGTTTCTGGCTTTTAATACGTCCGTGGGGGATTCTTTTGGTGAGTTAGTCGCATATTCGCCCTTTTTGCTAACTTTTAAACCACTAGAAACTTCCCTTTTCAGAGAATTTTTCAGTGCCTTTTTTTTTATGTACGCCTAATTTGCTAGGAGGTCCTAACTCTGCAGGACTGTCTACTGATTGGATTTCTTCGTTACTAACCTTTAAGCCAGTAGGGTCTGGTCCTGTCAGAGACTGAACGGTTGATCTTACCGATTTATTATTAACTTTTAGTCCTTCCATATCATCTCCCTTTAATGTAGATTCGGTCAATCCATTTTTTATTGTGTTCTCTTTTTCTACGGGAGGTTTTTGAACAATGTGCAATAAATGACCTGTTGACCTTTTCGTTCTTTTGTTAATCTTTAATTCATGAGGGGTAGTTCAAACTGGTGACTTGTCTTCTGTTACCTTAGCTTTTTTATTAGCCTTTGACGCACGTTTTTTGGTCTTTCCTAGTGAATTATTTCCGGATTTATCCTTTTTACTAACGTCGGGTTTACTTTGAGGGGTATCCTTCAATGAACCCTTATCTAACTCATCTTTTTTATTAACTTGTAACTCGGTAGGAGGAGAACTTTTCAATGAATGGGTCACTGAATGATCCTTTCTCTTAGATTTTAATCCACTAGGAGGTGTTCTAGTTACGTGATTATTTTACATTCCTTCCTTCTTTTTATTATTGTTTAGATCGGGATGAGGAGTTCCCTTTAATGTGCATTCAATTGATCTGGCCCCTTCATTTTTAATACTTATTCCAGTATGCGCAGTGCTACTCTTTAATGGTAGTTTTATTGGTCGATTGTTTCAGTGTTATCTCTTAACCCCGTGTGGGGAGTTCCTCTTTGTTGGTTCCCCGGAGCTGCAGGAGTTCCATCTCGATTTTTTAATTTGCTAGCTTTTAATTCAGTGGATCCTATATTTTCTGCTAATGCTATATCATATCTTGAAGTCACTGATGTTCCAGAATTATGTGGAATGTCATAGAATTCCCTGTATTTGGCCTAGTAAAACGATAAACAGCAAAGAAGTTGTAGAGAATAATTTATTTGGACATCATTTTAATGACATTTAAAGGAATGTCCATTCGTGTTATGTAGACAAATAGAGGAAAAGTTTACTTATGCACTTTCTCGCCTTTTCATTTCCTTACAAAGTTAGAACAAATCGATGTTCAAATGGGGAAGAATATTACGAGTATTTTAACATGGAGAAGGAAAATATTTTCTTTTGTTCCTTTATGGCATTTCATTTAATTTTCCATGTACGCAGAAGCAAATTTTCTAGTTACGTTTTAATGGACATGCATGAGACAATTATAGTTTATTTTGTCGTGTGTAACATACGTGATAAGGCATTTTCTTCATTAGTGTTCAGGTTAAAAATAATCGCCAAGTGTTAGAAGGTAAATAAAAATAACACGCACACAATATATGTGTGTAATTGTTAGCGTGTGTGTGTACGTGTGAGTAAAGGGGGGAGTAATCAATTTCATAATAACAGTAGAAAAGGTAAAACAATCTGACATGCGAGTTAGTCTAATTAATATAACTATTAAAAAAAAGGCGTTTGAAATGAACTAACTGTTTTTAATATTGCAAAAAGTTTTCCTTAATTATATGTCTTTCAGTAAAGTGGTGAGGGCAAAAGAAAAAAAAAATAATAATAAATAAATAAAATAATTAACGAAAAGGGGAAAATTAAGCAGAATCTTGTTATAAAATTGGAATATCAGAACATGTGCATGTTTCAATAATCTCTTTAAATTTGAAGTTGAACTGCGAGAAGGCATTAGGTGAATAAAAATTAGAACAAAAAAATTATAAGTAAATTTAACAGAGATAACTTCTCACAGAAGTGGACTTTAAACAATTATTCTGCTAAGGGCTCCATTTTCAAGAATATTATTCATCAATGTTTCTTTTTACTATGATTACTTTATTTATGCATTGGGGTGTTCCTATTTTGCGTGATGAAATCTAAATTGTCATTTTCCTTTTCCTTCGCATGCTAGCAAGGTGACACTTATGATGAGATTTACATAAAAAAGAAATAATCGCCGAATTGTAACGATGCTGCCATGGTCATTTTGTATGTGCATATGTATATATGTGAGAATTAACAATCGCACAGGGCACCCCCAGAGGGAATTGAGCATTTTTACCTAGTTGTGTGAAAAATAATGAAAGAAAAACTTCTTCTTTTTAATTCCATAGTCATAACCTAGGAAAGTAACAAGAAAAGCACATTGCTACATCTTGGGGTTCCTATGTTACAAGAAAAGGTAATTAACAAAAAATAAATAAAAAGGAGACTGGCAAAAAAAAAAAGGAAAAAAAAAAAAGAATTCTAGAATGTTATGTGTAATGATCAATATATTTCCACCGCTTAGATAAGTCAAATAAATAGTTACCATTCCAATAATTCTAAATTCAACATATAGAAAAGAATTGAAAGTAAAAATAAAAGCTTTCTTTCAATTTTGTCTAATTGTTATTTTCTTCATTTGGGAACTATGAAAAAGATAAAAAATGTCTTCTAAGGGTTACACATAAAAAATGGCATCTTTAATTATTGCACTCAGGGCTCACTTCATCTTTAGTACACATTTCTCTAGTAATACACGACAGTTATAATGAATGCAAAAAGGTGGAGCTGTTTAAATAGGCAATATTTCCATACAATTGTCAAAAATAATTATATTATGTGTAGAATAAAATTTCGCTGTATGTTTCTAAATAGTACTTATATTACAAGCACATAAAATGAGATGAAGATGATCCCTTCAAATCAATAAGACTGTGCACAGAATATGCTACCATTTTCGTATTTTTAATTTAAAATGGGGGAAAATTGTGAAATAAAGCACTGCATCATTTCACGTATTAAAAAAAACTTTGCATAAAAATATGTACTCGGAAGAAGATCCCCTGTATTATGGGTGCTCCAATTTCGTTCACTTATCATATAATATGCATAAAATTAGGATCAACCAAGAAAAAGGTGCACTAATGTCCAACGAAATAAATTTAATAATAATTTATCTTTCAATTAAGCGCTTTGCACAATATTTATATTCCTTTGGATTGAAAATGTGAATGGATATTCAGCCAAAGTGTGACTAAAGAATAATGAAAATAAGAACAGGTTGCATATGTATGGAAAAGTGATACATTTTCTTTTTTTTTTTTTTTTT